GCAGTGTACAAGTGTACCCTTTTCCCCACATCCTCGCCAGCACTTGTTGTTGTTTGACTTCATAATGGCTGCCAATCTTATTGGAGTGAGATGGTATCTTAGGGTGGTTTTGATTTGCATTTCTCTGATTGCTAGAGATGGTGAGCATTTTTTCATGTACTTGTTGATTGATTGTATGTCCTCCTCTGTGAAGTGTCTGTTCAGTATTTATTGATTCTTGATTTTACTTCTTGTGCTCTTTAGGGGTCTTGAGCAATTTGGTTCCTAAGCTGACATGATGGAGATTTAGGCCTACTTTTTCCTTTGTTAGGTGCAGGATCTCTGGTCTCATGCTTAGGTCCTTGATCCACTTTGAGTTGAGTTTTGTGCAGCTGAGAGATAGGAGTCTAATTTCATTTTGTTACATATGGGCTTCCCAACACCCTTTGTTGAAAGGCTCTTTCCTCCAGTGTATGTTTATGGCACCTTTGTCTGGTATATGACATCATTGTATTTATGTGGATTTGGCTCTGTATGTTCTATTCTGACACATTGGTCTTCATGTCTGTTTTGATGCTGTTTTTGTTATTAAAGCTCTGTATTATGTCTTACAGTTTTAGAAGTTCTAGTCCATGATCAGTTGGCCTCACTGCTTTTGAGCCTGTGAAGGCAGCAGCGTGTCTTGAAGCAAGAATGTTCACCTCATCTCCAGGAAGGAAAAGGAAGAACTGGAAGGTGGCCAGGATCCCACAATCCCTTTGAATGGTGTGCCCATGCCTTAAAGGTTTCACTCTAGATTTCACCAGTCTTTTAAAGGTCCCCTCACTTCACAGTAACACCACAGTGGGGACCAGGCCTTAAACACCTGGGCCATTAGGGCTGAATATTTTTGTATCTGTTTATTGTCTGTTCATTTTTTTTAAACCTATGTTTCTGTGGTCAAGTTCACAATATTTTTCTGCCTATGTTTATCTTGTTTCACTTTTTCTTATTTCATCACAGGAACTATGGGTATATAAAATATTTTGAAACTTCACGTATTGATTTTTAAGTGTTTTCTTCAGGTTAATTTTTTTCTTTTAAAATTTTTCTCTTTCTTAATCCCAGTTATGTTTTAAAAGAAGTTTTACCTATGGGATCTCTCATCAAATTTTAAATGAAAAGGAATTAATTTCATAATTAATTCCAAGTTTCTCATCTTCCTATAATTCTGTATTTTAAATTTAGCACTTTCAATTGATTTATCATTCTATTTGCCTCCTTTATTAGTTTAACATTTATCATTTATTCATTGCTTACTGGAGAGATTATAATATGTATCCTTGACTTATTAATTATGTATAAATGAGTACTTTTCTCAAATAATACCAGAATTTTATAATTTAACTTATTTATCTTCCTTTCCTTTTTTATTCTATTTTCGTTGTGATTTGAAACTCACAAACTTTGGCTGTTATATACTCAATATTTATTTAGATTAATCTATTTATCTATCAATCACCTACTCCACTTTACTTTCCCTTTACATACATTTATATTTATTTCTCACACTTTCAGTTTGAAATTACTTTGTTTATGCTTTAAGAACAGCTATTAGTATTTGCTTTAGTGTATTTCTGCTTGTAATGAATTTTCTTTTCTTTTCTCTTCTTTTTTGTCTGGAGATTGGACTTGGGAGCACTCAACCACTGAGCCACATCCCCAGCCCTATTTTGTATTTTATTTAGAGATAGGGTCTCACTGAATTGCTTAGCACCTCACTTTTGCTGAGGTTGGCTTTGAACTTGCAATCCTCCTGTCTCAACCTCCTGAGCCATTGAGATTATGGGCGTGTACCACCATGCCCAGCTGAATTTTCTTATTTTTTWAAAAATTAATTTTTACCTGATATATAAAACATAAAAATCATACATATTATTGGGATAATATGATGTTTTGATACACATATAAAGCATATAGTATAATGTTTAAATCAGATAGCATATATGAGTTTCATCAAACATTTATCAATTCCTTAGGATGAAAACCTTTAAAATATTTTCTGCTAGTTTTTTGAAATATGAAGTACATTTTCATTGTCTATAGTCACCCTATTGTGAAACAGCACACCAGAACTTATTGCTCCCATTAAACTGTAACTTAAGTACTGATTGATCAGCCTTTCCTCATCCTTTCTTCTTCCCTCCTCTCCCTAGGGAAACCACCCTTTCCCTCTCACTTCTATAGGGGTCAGCCACTTTAGACTCCAAATATGAATGGGATCATGCAGCGCTTGTCTTACTATGCCTGCTTTGTTTCACTTCATATAATAACMTAGTTCCTTCCATGTTGTTGCAAATGACAGGATTTCATATTTGTTTATGGTTGTACAGTATTCCATTGTGTACATGTACCACATTTTCTTTATCTATTAGTCAATAGATAGACAGTTTAGTWGTCTCCATTTCTTGACTATTGTGAATTATATTACAATGATCATAGGCTGCAAATGTTTCCTTGACATACCAATTTCAATTCCTTTGTATATATAACCACCAGTGGGATTGCTGGATCACATGGTGGTGCCAAGCACATAAATTCCAGAATAACACCATTCAGGAAATCAGACTAGGGGGCACATTCCATCTGGTGCTTCATATCAGRAAAGTTATAAGGATAATGTGAATACCCTCTGAATTACTGTTTATTTCTGATTATGATCATTCCTATTTCTAAGACATAATGAAGACTCTGGAAGTGATTGAGAATCTGCAAGAGCACTTTTTATGGCACTTTGGTCTCCTTATGATGTTGTTCYACTCAGGATTCATTTCTAGTAATTACAGATCTGTGATTATATGTAAGGCTGTTTTAAAGTGTCTCTAGGTAGATCATTTCTTGTAGAACTTCCATGCACTGCCATTGGATAAACTGATATGGTATTAACTGAAGGACTACTGTGTCCTGTATTGTACTCTAGACTGTCACATATTAAAGAAAAATGTCAAATAATCTCTGCTTTTGGGAAGACTATGTTGACTATATCAACCCACAGAAATAATTAGAAAACTATATAATAATGTATATTTATGTTTTTATTGGTGAAAGAGCAACCCAAATTCAGCAGGAAGAAAGAGACTAATTGAAATATAATCATAGACTGTGATTAGAGAGTTTTTAYAAACCCTTTGTTTGAGATATGATGTAATTAAGACAAGTTTTCATCAGTGAGGAAGTGAGATTTGAATTAGGCCTTAAAAATTGACTAGACTAAAAATAAGTATGAAATTAGAAGAAATTTAACTGGATTAATTTATTTCACATTTCCTGATTTTATTTGTATGAAGACATGCATACCATATTCAATTTAGGTTTGTCAAATAATCCATAAATTCTTAAAGTATATGTGATTAACAATGCTGCTAATGCTGAAAGACAGCTTATTTTCTTAATCCAAAGCTCACTTTATACAATTATTCTTTTTGCAAACTACTACTTGGTTATATTAACACTTGAATAATCTTGACAAGAAGTTGCTTTAAGCAGTTAAAGATCCAGATGCTGATCAGCATGCATTAAGTGATTCAGCTTAATTGGTTCCATCTAGATGAATTACTTACCTCAGTTCCTATCACAATTTCTTCCCTGGTAGAGAAGAACAGAAACTCATACAGTCTGTAATGTTGAAATAAGCTGAAATACAAAATAAATGTGCAACTATAACAAATTTACTGCAGGGAAAACAAGAAAACACATAAAGGCATTTATTAAAAGTACATTAGTGCTGATCCAGCTAAAGATACCAAATACTAATATAAAATACCTCTTTTATTTCAAAATAAATTGTCTAGAAATGCTAAGAATGAAATTTTAATTTCTGAGACATTTACAGTATAACACAGTACCTAGAATAATGTCAATAAATCAATCTGTGATGATTGGATAGGTTTGGGATAAGAAAGCAATTAGATTGCATCTTGGTAATTCTGAACTTAAAACTAAATAAGGTATCATCCCTAAACAACCTAAATTTCACATTATTTTCTGTTTTGCTCCAAAATAGAGTCAATTTGCTCTGATATGAATGGCACTGAATTCTGTAATCTACTTCCATATCAATTACTTCTTCATACAGTCTTAAACTGTTTCAAGTTTAAATTAATCTCCAATAACACCTGAAAAATGATGTGACATGAGCTGAAATCCATTTAGAAGATGTCCAACTTTCCTGTAGAATATTCAATCACACATCAAAGGATGGAATACATTTAAGAYGAATCATTTCCTTTTTTCTTACCTGGAAACTAGGTGGTCAGTGTATAAAAACTACAAAGAGCCAAAGGATAAGAGCTCCTGAAAATAAATATTTTTAGCAAATTTAAAGAACTCAGCARTGTATTATTGAGAGTTAAAAATATACTGAAGGGCTGACTTCTAATATCCTGTTTGTGATAATATTTGAATTTTTCTAATTCTCTTCCTGCTGGTTGGGAAAATTAATAGACTCATATTACAGCAAAATGCCCAAGAACAAAAAATTGTCTTAGTGGTTTCTCTTTCACTCTGGTGCCTTTTGCTATTTAAGAAAATTGATTTTAATATAACTGAGAAATTAACATTTGCAAAATGTAGCTACAGAGCATGTATAATAATGGCTTCTCCTGAATGCTGTAATGGATCAAAGTTTCAATTCATTTGGAATCAATGAAGAAATCCTCAGGCAGCTGGGTCTCTTTGAGTTATATTAGCAGTTGATCTCACTACTAACACAATCCATTAAAAAGTGATAGGTGTGTAGACTCACTTATGGTTTTTCTTTTTTCTTTTTCTTTTTTTTTTTTAACCTTGTACACTTGAATTACTCATCAACATTCACAAAACTAACTTAGCTTTTTGGCATCACTTTGATTTGTTGGCTAGGAAAATACATTAAGATTAGTGAAGTTTGATGTTTCATTGGTGCAAAATAAATTCATATTCTCCCTCCCTGAAACTAGTAGCCTAGAGAAAGCTGTAAGGTMAAAAATATTACATTGGCAGTAAGTGATTTTGAGTAAAAAACCTGAAGACCATGTTGTGGAAATAGCTTGGCTTCCTCCAAGTGAACAAGAGTAAAATTTCCCTTTCTCCATCCTGTGTCACACAAAGAACTTACTTCATAAATATTCCTTCCTGCAATTTCATAATCTTTCAGTTTTATTCTCCTYGTTGCACATAGGAATCACGTTGTCCCTGTCAGGAGGGAAACSACCTTGCAATGAAATGAGCTGTATGACTTGGATGCTATGGTCAAAGATGCAGAACTGGGAGCAAGGCAGATCTAGGGTGATATATCCAGGAGAAGGGGCCTAAAGAGCCAGTTTCTTAGGGCAGCCTAAGTCCTTTTCCCTACCTTAGTTTTACCCGAGAGTGATAAAGGGTCATGCAGGAGAGCAAATGATACTTCAGTTGTGGGAGTGCATTTTCTCTTTCTTCCTTTAGTCTTATGGATGATCAAGTTCCTAGACTATTTTGTCACACATCTAGCCTTAGTGTTAATTTAAAGGGAGATGGAACTGAAATAGGTCAATATATCTGTTCCATGCCAGGATGTACAATACAYTATTGTGCACAGAGGGGCAGATTGGCTTTCTTTTATTAGATATATGTCTGCACACATAACCTTGCCTAAATCCCAGGGAACTGGTAGAATACACAATGCAAGAAATATGCTTGGATTTGAGATATATCTCATCTCTCTCTCTCTCTCTCATTCTATGTATCTCTCTCTCTATATATATATCATATATTGATATATATATGTAATCTCATGATATATATATATAGATGACATATACATAATTTATATACATCTATATATACCAAATATATGTATATAGGTCTCAATATATTTATGAATATACCATACACACATATAAATGATTACATTAAAGCTACAGTGGCATTTATAGCCATATTTATGTCTATAACATATTATATATACAAATGTATATACTGCACAAATAGATTTGTCAGTACTTGCAGTAATATGGGGGAGAMATTTTGGTATTAGTTTTTTCAAATCAGAGACCCATCACAAGATATATACTAAGAGCATCCAATGGAGTTTAATTTTATTATCAATTTCTTGTGCTATGAGTCATGTTCAACAAATTGATCTCCCTAGATTAACTAGGGCTTTGAGCAGTTGGGTAAAGTTGATATCAGGCTAAATTGAAATACACATACACTTTTAATAATTGAGTTGCATTCATATTTATAAAATTGCCTTATACTCATCAAAATGAATGTATTATGTGATTTAATTGCCACTACACTTACATTTGTGAATCTATGAGGGATAATGAACAGGTGTTGTRGGAAAGCACATTTCCTTTCACCCAACTATAGTATAAATTCCAGATATACTACTAACTGATATTTTGTCTTTCTGTAACAAGGAGATTTAAAATACAAAACTTCCTTAAATTCACAAATGAAAATTTAACAGCATGAAAAATGATTGATTCATTTTATTTGACTAATCTCTCAAATATTACTTTTTTAAAAAAGAGACATAGGATTATAGGTTTTGGATATATGAAGTTAGTGAAGGTAGGATCCAAAGGTGAAACAGAAATGGAGGGACTTYTGTCAAACTCATTCTAATTATCACCTGGAACCAAAACCAGACAAAGACACATCAGGGAAAGAAAACTTCAGACCAATATACCTGATGAAAAAATTCTTAATAAAATATTGGCAAATCATATACAAAAACACATTAAAAAGATAGTGCACCATGGTGGAGTGGATTTCATCCCAGGGATGCAAGGTTGGTCAACAAATGGAAATCGATAAATGTAATTTACTATATAAATAGTCTTAAAGACAAGAATCCCATCTCAATAGATGCAGAAAAAGCATTTGACAAAGTACAGCACAYATTCATGATGAAAACACTAGAAAAAATAGGGACAGAGGGAAATTAACCCCAAAAATCCCTAAATAATGCATAAATAAGCAGGAAAAAAGAAGTTAACAGAAACTTCTCAATAGAAGAAACACAAAAAGTAAATAAATACATGGAAAAATGTTCAATATCTCTTTCAATCAGGGAATTGCAAATCAAAACTACACTAACATTTCATCTCACTCCAGTTAGAATGGCAACAATCAAGAATACTAACAACAATAAATGCTGAAAGGTTGTGGAGAGAAAGGAACACCTGAACATTGTTGGTGGCACTGAAGGCCAGGAGAACCACTCTGGAAAGCAGTTTGAAGATTCCCCAAAAACGAATGGGACCATATGGGACCAAAAACATATGGGACCACATATGAACCAGCAATCCCTTTCCTGGGTATTTTCCAAAAAAGACCTAAAATCTTAGCAATGCCTTCATAGTGTCCCAGAGATTTTGAAATGTACAATTATTCTCATTTACATCTAAGTATTTTTTAATTTCACTCCTGATTTTTTCTGCTATAGATTGTTCACTCAAAAGCATATGTTTTAGTCTCCAGGTGTTAGAGTAGTTTCTATTTTTTATTGTTGGTTTCTGATTTCATTCTATTATGAACTGATAGAATGCAAGGCATCATCTCTATTTTTCGGTATTTGCTAAAAGTTGTTTTRTGATCTAAGATATGGAATATTATAGAGAAGGATCCATGTGCTGCTGAGAAGAAAGTGTATACAGGCATTGATGGATGAAATATTCTATTTATGTCTATTAAGTCTAAATTATTAATTGTATTTTCTAGTTCTATAGATTCTTTATTTAGTTTTTGTTTGGAAAACCTATCCCGTGAAGAGACAGGCATGTTAAAGTCACCCAGAATCACTGTGTTGTGCTCTACCTGATTCTTGAAATTGAGAAGGGCTTGTTGGATGTACAGAGACGGTCCAYTGTTTGAGGCATAAATATTTACTATTGTTATAATTTGGACTCCTAAAGCACAAGAAGGAGAATCAAGAATTGATAAATGGAATGGCATCAAGCCTAAAAGCTTCTTCACAGGAAATGACATGATAAAGAATGTGAAGAGATAGCCTATAGAATGGGAGAAAATCTTTTCCACCTGAATCTCAGTTAGAGAATTAATCACCAGAAGAGATAAAGAACTTAAAAAACTTAACACCAAAAAAAAAACAACAACAACAACAAACAAAAAACCCAAAGACAAAAAACCCAATCAATAAATGGGCAAAGGAACTGAACAGACACTCCACAGAAGAAAAAATATGAATGGTCAAAAAACATATAAAAAATGTTCAACATCTCTAGCAATTAGAAAAATATAAATTAAAACTACACTGAAATTTCAACTAACTCCACTCAGAATGGCAGTTTTCAAGAATATAAATAACAATTTTAGTGAATATGTGGGAAAAAAAGGTAGATTTATACATTGCTGGTGGGACTGCAATCTAGAACCATTCTGGAAATCAGAGTGCAACCATTGTGGAAGCAATATGGAGATTCCTCAGAAAACTTGGAATGAAACTACCATTTGACCCAATTATCCCACTCCTCAGGTATATWCCAAAAGGTCTTAGAATCAGCATACTACAGTGATATAGCCACATCAATGTGTATGGCAGCTCAATTCACAATAGCTAAGCTATGTGGAATAAACCTAGGTTCCCTTCAACCAATGAATGGATACAGAAAATGTGGTATATGTACACAATGAAATATTACTCAGCC